TGCCCCCTTCCTCCAGAATGTTACGACAAGTATTGTTATAGACAGGTATGAATCAAATTCAAACAGGCTAATTCAGCTTTGATAGAAGCTGTCAAGCGTACACGACTATGAATGACAGTTTTTTAAACAAACGTCAAACACAATTACTACACTCTTCTCTCCGAACATGTAAAAACTGCTATATCCTTTGATTGACAAGATGCCAATCAAATTCATTAGTTTTGATAGCTGCTGTCAAGTAATAACAGCTTGATTGGCAGGTTATATAAACAAACGTCAATCACAATCATTACAAGGGATCACTATAGACGTCGATCACGTTTAGATCAAGCTTCCTACACCCTTTGATTGACAAGGTGCCAATCAAATTCAGTTAGTTTTGATAGTTGCTGTCAAGTAATTTAGCTAGATTGGCAGGTTACATAAACAAACGTCAATCATCGCGCACTGTGATTTCTCTCACTGTGAAACAGTGAGTACGCCGAAAGAGAGCGCTAAAATCTGAAGTTATAGTAATTAACTTGCAAAATATTTCAAGAGAATATATACAACGTTTCCAAAACTAGTTCTCTTTTTGAACCCTTCAGCGTGTCTAATACGACACTCTAGATTACAAACAATTTTGTAAAAAGAAGAATTTAGCAAAAGAAACCAATTTAAAAACAGATTCAAGTAAAGAAATATGACATTTGACGTTATTCTGGAAGTAGCGCATGAGTCATTTCAAAATTAGTACAACTATGTGCCCTAGTATGTGCGTGGAAGAAGGAAGAATAAATGTATTTGAATAATGTGCGGAATATTGACAGGTTCTTTTACTGTCAAAGTCTTCTTTCTGCAAAATAATAAATAAATAAATAAATTAATTAATTAATTAATTAATTAAACGATGATAATTCATCCTCATTAAAGGTGACATTCGTGTTGTGGTCGAGGTAAGTGGTTTAATTATTTCGGGGCTAAATGTTAGCAAGCGCCTGTGATAATAAGTGGATGAGAAAGAAATATATAGCTGTAAACAAAAGTATTACTATCCTATTTAACAAACAAACCGCTACTTCGCTCTTGTAACTATTTTGTTAGTTTATTTTACTACAGTAAAGCGTGGATAAAATAGTTCAAAACGCCCTCACAGTGAAGTTGTTATTGCGATTTCAGCTGCTGGGGTTAGGTGAAGGGGCGAGGACAGGGGAGGATCCAGGATTATTAGACAGGGCTCGGATACGAAGCGGACCATCACCCCTTTGGTGTAGGATTTGGGGCCTGCTCAACGGCCCCCACAAAAAATAGTGTTTTGGAGAGCAAACAGTGCCCTTTGGTACGGTTTAGAACTATGATTCAGCTAGTCAAAATTCTAATTTCAAGAGGGGAATATTGGTGTGATATATTTTTCAGAAACCGAAGGGGGGTCAGGACCCCCTGACAATATCATACATCACATGATTATTTGACATGCCAGTACAACACTTAAAGGACATTCAATTTTATCTTATATAAGGATTTAAAACGATGCATGTATTTTATTTCCTCGAGAAATGATATTTTGACATAGGGGCCCCGGTTCATATGTAAAAACAACTTTTTATACGCGGTAATATTCTGACGTTTGTCTTGTCTCAACATGGTTGTAACGTCTACCACAGAATTGATGGAAATGTGCCGTTGGCCGCTGTAAATGCATATTGTAGGCCATAAAAACCGATTTTTAACCATTTACCTAAAATATCTTGTTAAAGGGTTTTTAAAGCACGTCTTTTTGGTACTTGAGTTCCTCATCTACTGATACGCATAGTACATGTATATCCCTTTATGGAATTGTAATATCAAGTTTTTCATGAATCTCTCAAATTTAGTATTACTTGCAAGGTATACTATCAACACACAAGACATGGTGCATATTTCACTTGTGTCAGACGACAAGACTCAACACCACATATAACGCGGGATTTTCCATGATTTGGTCACTTATTAAACAGTGGATCGAAGAGGGAGGGAGGGACTTACCTCTCCCTTTATACCTATAATTTCTATAACGTAAAGTGTCACGACATCGGGTGTACTTCCCCACCATGACGTCAAAAAATGGACGGCAATAGAAGCCTGACGTAAACTTTAATACACATTTTCCCAATCCCACCCCTCTTCCACGCATTTGCACTTTTGCACTTTTAGCTTTTCTGATCAAAGTAAAATAATATTATATGTGATTGTAAAGAAAGTTACTCTACTAAATTTGACATCTGCTAAAAACAATTTTTACACGAGGTATATTTTGGCTTCTGTCCTGTGTCAACATGGTTGTGACTGCAACCACAGATTTCATAGAAATGTGCTAGATGTGAAAAACCATTAGGGAGCATTCACATCGAGAAGAGAAGAGGTCTAGCAAGGCAGAGACCTAAATATGGTTGACCTACATGAAAGGAAGACCGCGTAATCCGTTAATGGTCCCTCAATGACATTCATCGAGAGACCATTAAAGGATTACGCGGTCTTCCTTTCATGTAGGTCAAAATAACCGCGCAAAGGATTGTGGTCTATATGAGGGTCCAACTCGCCTCGAGCCGAGGGGGGCAACTAGACCCAGGTGCACAATTTTTAGATTTAAGGATTGCAGCCATTTATGGTGCAAGAATGGACTACGTTAATACAATTTTGTAAAATTTCAAACAATTAGCTATAGTCTGATGCCTTATGCGTATATATTCGATCAAAAGCCTATGAAAATAGATTTTTAATTCTCTTAAACAAAAATACTTTTAGGTGCAAAAATCGTTTATTTGGACTCACCACTTGGGTAAAACTTTTTTGCGTCCGACACTTCCTTAGTATGGTAGGCTACTGTCACTATACAAGAGAATGTGGCCAATTTTTTTTTACCTCGTAGTTACTTTTTCATAAATTGACGGGGGAAGGGGGGGGGGGCAACTTACCCCGGAGTTCAACTAGCCCCAGTCTCCCCTAGGTGCAATTACATAGTAGGTGCCAAAATTTAGTTAGCTTGTGAAATGAATGGCTTAA